AAAGGATAATATTGTAGGAAATCTCTCTGTTTTCCCAAAAGTCATAGGACTGGAGTTCCTTTTTCTGGGAAGCATCTCCTGTATTTTTGGCTGTCTTTTAAACTGTTCTATAGTCAAATTGATTGCTAACCAGAAGGCTAGCGGTTCAAACCCACCAGCCACTCCTCGGAAGGAAGATTGGGCAATCTACTTCCATAGAGATACCATCTCAGAAACCCAAGGAGGGGTGATTATGAGTCGAATCGACGTGACAGCAGTGAGTTTTTGAGTTTATTATCATAACAAGGCCTTGGGTGGCTTGAGTGGTGTGCAGTGCCTAAGGCATTTGACTGCTACCAAAAGGCTGGAGGTTCAAACACACCAACCACTCCTCAGATGGAAGACTGGGCGATCTACTTCTGTAGAGATCCACCTTGGAAACCCAAGGAGGGGTTGCTATGAGTTGGAGCCAATTCGACAGCAATGAGTTTGGTAGTTTTGGCTAACATAAAGGTTGGCAGTTTGGAATCACCCCGTGGCACTGCAGAAGAAAGATCAGGAAATCTGTTTCTGTGAAGGTTACAGCCAAGAAAACCCATGGAGCAATTCTACTGTGTAAGACATGGGGTCGTCATGAGTCAAAAACGACTTGACAGCAATGAGTTTTTTTGTTTTGTTTGTTGGAGCTCTGGTAGCGTAGTGCCTAAGGCATTTGACTGCAAATCAGAAACCTGGTGGTTCAAACCCACCAGCCACTCCTCAGAAGGAAGGTTGGGCAATCTACTTCCGTAGTAATATCACCTTGGAAACCCAAGGAGGGGTCACTATGAGTTGGGTCCAACTTGACATCAGTGAGTTAAGTTGTAGTGATAACAGCTACCAGTTATCAAGTATAACTGAGTGCCTAAGGCATTTGACTGCTAACCAGAAGGCTGGTGGTTCAAACCTACTAGCCACTCCTTAGAAGGAAGACTGGGCAATCTACTTCCATAGAGATACTGCCGGGGAAACCCAAGAAGGGGTCGCTATGAGTCAGGTCCAACTCAACAGCACATAACAACAACAACAACAGCAATGTAGTCGTCTCCTAATTCCCACAGTAGTCAACATTGACTGAGCTTGGACTCTTTTTAAAGGCACAAATTCACTTCTGGGAGCTCTAGTGGCACAGTGGTTAAAGCATTTTGCTGCTAACCAAAAGGTCAGCTATTCGAACTCACCAACCACTCCTTGGGAGAACAATGAGGCAGTCTGCTTCCATAAAGATTTATAGCCTTGGAAGCCCTATGGGGCAGTTCTACTCTATCCTATAGGGTCACTATGAGTTGGAATCAACTTGATGGCAATGGGTTTGGTTTTCTGGTTTTCTTTTTAACTCTCACCACTAGATGAAGAATCTAATTTAGATCTGAGACAAGATGGGCATGGTACGCCCAAGATGGGTGAGAGTTAGGGATCAACTTTTGTCTCTAGTTTCCTTCCCTCACTTTCTTCAAGTTGACAATTTGTACATTCTGGAATTACGAACTTTATAGGAATTTGTAAGCATCCTCTCACTTAAAAGGAACCTTTTATCTGGGCACTGTGGTTGTTGTTGTTGTTGTGAAGTGCTACTGAGTCACTTCTGACTCATACCGACCCTGTGTACAACAGAAAACACTGCCTAGTCCTGTGCTATCCTCACAATTGTTGCTATGTTTGAACCCATAGTTGTAACCACTGTGTCAATCCATCTCATTGAGGGTCTTCCTCTTTTTTGCTGACCCTCTGCTTTACCAAGCATAATGTCCTCCTCCAGGGACTGGTTCCTCCTAGCAACAAGTCCAAGGTATTTATACTTTTAATTCTCTTGAGTGCTTAAATGAAGATTCCACTACTGTGTCTGTATAAGACCATTATAGTTTTGAATAAAAAGGTAAAGATCAGAAACTATTCATATAGTATTATGAGAAGAAAAACTAGAGAGAGGATGTGCTGATAAGAAAGTAGGTGTGTACAGATCAGGCAATGAATTAATCTCAAATTATGTTTGAAATATCAATCTAATTATGGTTTATGTTCACAGAGAGTTTTAGTTTGTCCAGAAGAGAAAAGGTTGGGCTCCAGTTACAGATGCATGGAGCCTGTAAATTAGGTCTGAGGTTAATTTTGGAAAAAGCAGGATGACACTTCTTTACCTGAATCATTTAAATAATTGCCACAATACTCAATTTCAAATCCTGCCTCAATGCAAATGGCAGAGAGAGTATATCCCTGTCCGACCACAACATTGTTTCTACCATTATCTTGAGTGGCCCATGGCATTCCACTACTGTGTCTGTGTAAAACCATTATAGATGGTTGATCTCACATCAAAACTTCAAGATTAATTCTGTTGGAAAATCACCCAAGTGAGGTTTTCAAGTGCAAATTCATGCACAAACATGCCAAACATTTCACACAGTTTATGGATTACTCATTCTGTGATTCATAAGGACCCTTTGAAAATAAAGGATCTGAAAGTATTAGCGATGTATTTGTTAAAGAAATATTGTTTCAATCAGTAGGAGGAGTGTTATAGATTAAGTTGTATCCTCCCCAAAATATATGCTGTAAATCCTAACCCTTATACCTGTGGTTATAATCTCATTTGGAAATGACTTTCCTTCGTTATGTTTATGAGGCAGTATCAGCATAGGGTGTGTCTTGAGTCAGTCTCTTTCGAGATATAAAAAGAGGAGGCAAAGGAAGCAGAGATGAAGGGAGATAGATGGCACACTACATGAAGATCACCATGGAGCCAAGGAGTAAGAGACAAGGATATTCCCCCAGATCCAACAGAGATAGAAAACCCTCCTCCAGAGCCATCACCCTGAATTCATACTTGTAGCCTCTTAAACTGTGAGAAAATTAATTTCTGTTTGTTAAACTACCCACTTGTGGTATTTCTGTTATAGCAGCACTAGAGAACTAAGACAAGAAGCTCAGGCTCATTGGAATCGTGGCTACCTTGGTACTCTGACAACAACCTGGAGACCCCCCAGTTTTGCTCTTGTCTGCTTCTAGCTCTAATAACAGGCATAACGTCCTCCATCAAGGGCAACACTTTTATCTACTTTCACTTGCCTCTAAAAAGTATACTCGAGATTAGAAAGAAATGTGATGATACTTGATTGTAAGCCCCTTGAAGGCAAGAACTGTGTCTCAATCACCTGTACTGATTGTGCCCACACCCCTCCTAGAATGTGTTGCTGTTATTAGGTGATGTCTATTTTGATTCATGGGAGCTCTGGTAGCATAGTGCCTAAGGCACTTGACTGCTAACCAGAAGGCTGGCGGTTCAAACCCTTCAGCCACTCCTCGGAAGGAAGGTTGGGCAATCCTACTTCCATAGTGATACTGCCTCGGAAACCCAAGGAGGGGTCACTATGAGTCGGGGCCAACTCGACGGCATGTAACAACAACAACAACAATTTTGATTCATAGTGACCCTATGTGATAGAGTAGAACTACCCCGTAGGATTTCGTAAGGCTGTAATATTTATAAGAGCAGATTGCTAAGTCTTTCTCCCAAATAACCACTGGGTGGGTTCGATCTGCTAGCATTTCAGTTAGCAGGCAAGCTCTTCATTGTTGCACCACCAAGGGTTCAGTAACTGTTTTATGTATGTTGAATGAATGAACAGATGTTTTTAAGGATTACTCCTGCAGTCAGAGCCCCAGACTTGTACTCCCTTACCATCCTACACACTGTTAGTTGATAAGTATGATAAGTATGTGATCTAGTTGATAATGAGTGTGAACTAGATACCCAGCACTGTCCCACTGTCCCGTGGGTATGTTGAGTTGGACCCTCATTCTTACATGCCCCATCTACTGCATTGTAGCATACAAACATTCCAAACAATGTCACCCAGAACCCCAGCTGATATCCCAGATTTCATGTGGTCCAGAAGTTCTAAAGATCAGCTAAATTATTTGGGGTGTCTTGTTTAAGATTTTTTTTTTTTTGTTGCTATGAAGAGATATATATCACAACATTTGCAAAATCAACATTTTTCACACATACAATTTAGTGACATCAATTACATTAATCATGTTGTGCAACCATCACCATATCTGCTGCCAGATTGCCCATCACCATAAACTCAATGCTTCCTAAATGACTCCTCCTTTTCCACTTCCTCCCATGCCTGATAACCATTACTAAACTTTGGTCTGTGTACATTTGATTGAGAGTCTTTTGTTTTTTTCTTTTTTAACTGTGGTAAGTATATAGGTAACAGAACATTTGCCATTTCTATAATCTTCACGTGTACAATTCAGTGATATTATGTTCATCATATTGTTCAACTACAACCAATTAACCATTTCCAAATTTTTCCATCACCTTTAATAGAAGTGCAGTGGGAGTCTTTTTATAAGTCTTTTCAAAACAGCATTGGATATCTGCCTTGAGCATTGCACCCTATTGAGGAATTAGCTATATGACATTGAAAAGACAACTCTACAGCACAGATGAGAACTTTAATGGGCAGAGAGTATAAGTGAATATGGGCAGAGATAGTGAGTATGGAGACACACTGTGAAGTATGTAACCATTGTGAAAATATGTTTTCCTGCATATATTTTCACCAAAACATAAACAAAAACAGCCCTAGATTGGCTTGTTCTTACAGCATTACCACTAACAAGATGTGTGTTTTGGGCAAACATTGCTTCCTCATTTGAAAGTTAAGGTTCCTTTCAGTTCTGAATCTCATACATTGTATGCACTGTCTTATAAACAGTTCTCTATCGACACGATCAAGGTGTTGGAACACCCTATTTCTGCATTTAAGCGAAGCTACTTGATGACTTTATCAATTGAGGAAAATCATGTAATCGTTCTGCCCAAGTTCTTTCATCAATGATTAAAATAATGAGAATAATAATAATAAATAAAAGATAGAATTGTTTCCTCTGGAATAATCTGATCTATTTAAAAAGTAATTCTTCTTTGCTTGCTTAAGAAGCAAAAATGTGTGTTTGTTTTTCCCTAGGAAAACCTCTTCTTTGTAATGGAATATCTCAACGGAGGAGACTTAATGTACCACATCCAAATCTGCCACAAGTTTGATCTTTGCAGAGCTACGTAAGGGCCCTTTAAAGGGATTGGGATTTTTCCGTTATTCTTGTCAGTTACTATGTGCCCAATGCCACAGAGTACTTTTCCCCTTTGGTTCTTTTCTTGTTTCCCCACTCAGTATGCCTAAATTCCAAGGCAAGATAAACTCAGGATTGTATCAAACAAGGCAACAGTTTTCCCAGTTTACAAAACTTAAAATTGCATCGATTTTGTTTCATTGCTCTGTGTTTTGAAGCTAGCCACTTTTTCTTAAGAAACCACCCCAGTTCATCCGAACTGCAGCCACTCATATTTCTAAGTAATCTGAGCACAGAAGCAGAGATTTACCTCTGAAAACAATACACACACCATAAGAGTGGTCCCTAGAGATGAAGCTCTTAGCCAGGAACTTTAGTGGGAAACTCAATGTGAAGGCATAAAGCATTTGACTCAAAGGGCATGAGAATTAAGAACCTGGAAGAGTCACTTACTCTGTTTGAAAATAAATCTTCACCTTCTTTGGCATCAAGCCACCATAGATGCAAGCGTGATGGAGCAGGCTGCGTTTAACAGGTGGGACTGCAGCTGAGTCCTGCAGAACCTGCTGTGACCTGTGCCTACCACTGTGTGCCCCCCAACCCCTACTGTGGGTCCAGAGTAGTAGAACCATCGAGAAATTCAAACAAAAGGAAACTGTACCACCAGGCTTACTTTAAAATGATGGCTACAGATTGGCTTTAATTGTTTGATGCTCAGTAATCTTTCACTCACCTTTGAATGAGCATTTTGAGTGCTTTAGATGAACGAGTTTGAAGATGAACTTGTTCCACCAGCTCTTGCAAGAACCCTGGCTGAAGTTGCTGTTCTGTAAAATCTAATGGGTAGCACTCTCCTGCTCTCATTGCCTCCGGGAACCATCAGCAAAGTACCCAGAGATCATTTTATTGGATTTCTGCAGCAGAAAAATCATCAGGCATTTTTTTTGTGCTAAGAAGGACTCAGTCCACTACCTTCTTCAATGTTCAGTAATACATTGAAGCCAACTTGGAAACGTGCTATCTATTGTGTCCTAAGTGCTTTCCATGAAAGCAATTTTTGTATTTTTCTGTGAGATCCAGTAAATATCATTTCCAGGAAGTTCTCCCTTATCACTAACCCTAATCTCTCACGTGATGGTATAAACTAATTTCCTCTGAAGTCTGTCATCATTGAAGATAAAGAGTTAACGTATCACCCTCTATCTTATAATATCCTTTCCTCCACCTCTAAGGCTTCATTTCTTGTATAGGCTAAATTGTACCAGCATGAAAATAAACAAGCCTGATCTATTTGGAATGGCCCTACATGCAGGTCTATGGGCTGCAAACCAAACATAAAAGGAAAAAATATTTCCTCTGTGTGTAAGAAATCACACAACACTATTGAATTTGATTTTTGTGTGTGTGTGTGTGTTTTAGTTACAGAAAAATGACAGTTGGCACATTGTCGTTTACAGTGTAAGAATAAGCATTGGACTCACATGGGACTAGTTTAAGATACCAGCTCTGGGACTAGTTTAAGATACCAGCTCTGTGTTGTACTATCAGTGCAGACACTAGACATGTCTGAACCTCAGTTTTCTTCTTATTATTTTGTGTATCTGTGTATGTTACGTATGCAGGTAACAGAACATTTACTGTTTCTGCAATCTTCACGTGGACAGTGACATTAATTCTGTTCATATTTCTCAGCCATCACCATTAGCCATTCCCAAATTTTTCAGTCACCCTTAACAGAAGCTCAGTGTCCCCTAAGCATTGTGTCCACCTTTCCTCCTCCCACCCACCAGTTTTCTCATGTATAAATGGATAGCAGCTTCCTCTTGTTAGGATTAAACAAAATACGTATGTAAGCCATTTAGCAGAGCACCTCCATGTAGCACTCATTACATAACATACAAAATTGGGTTTGGGGATTTTATTTTGTCCTGTTAATGCATTCATTTTGAACCTTTGTTCTCCTTCTTTCAGGTTTTATGCTGCTGAAATTATTCTTGGTCTGCAGTTCCTTCATTCCAAAGGAGTTGTATACAGGTAAACGTTGCTTCTTGGAAATGAACATTTAGATATCTAAATAGCTTGATCCAGTTACTTTAATTATTAGACTTTAGTGGTCCAGTGCCTAAGGCATTTGACTGCTAACCAGAAGGTTGATGGTTCAAACCCACCAGCTGCTCCATGGAAGAACATGGGGCAATCTACTTCCATAAAGATTTACCACCTCAGAAACTCAGTGGGGATTGCTATGAGTCAGAATCAACCTGATGGCAGTGAGTTTGTTTGTTTTTTTTTAGTGATATGAAGTAGCCCATGTGCTTTTGTGATAAGAAGTTCCATACCCTAGCCTTACATCCAGAGTGATAACATGGACGATGATTTACTAACAACCAAGTAAGAAATTTCAGTCTCAAAGCAGTAAGATTCTAATCTCCTTTGTCCTTTATTCTGCCCCTTACTTTCATTCTCCCTTTCACTGCCCCTGTTCTCCTTCCATTATTCTCCTGTCTTTAGTATGTTATTGTTGCTTTCTCTCTCCTCCTTGACTCTTTTCGATTTTATACTTCTTATTGCTTGTATTTACTTTGGGCCACCTAGAAATGCTTGTGAACTTTTCTCCAGGGGGTGTGTCTTAGTTTCCTAGTATCGTTGTAACAGAAATACCACAAGTGGGTGGCTTTGAAGAACAGAAATTGATTTTCTCACAGTGTGGAGGCCGAAAGTTCCAATCAGAGTTGGCTGTGTCCATTCCTTCCTTGTCAGTAGCCCCAGGCATTCCTTGGTTCCTTGGCTTGTACACAGTCTCCATGTGGCATCTGTCTTCCCCTATGTATGTGTGTGTATGTGTGTGTGTATGTATTCTGTCTTTTTATAACTTAGAAGTGATCAGGTTGAATCTACCCTATACTGGTATGAACTTATTAACATAACAAAAGGAAAGCCAAGTTTTCAGAGAAGATCACATTGACAGTACAAGGACCAGACTTTGAGCACATTTTTGGGGGAGGGAAGGTGAGGTACAATTCAATCCATAACAGGAATTTTTCTTGAGCCTCACACACACCTGTAGAAACTTATGGTCCTACACATCACAGAAAAGCACAGAATGCCATGTCTGTACTTTTTCATAAGTGGATGCCTATCCAAAATTTCTCTGTTGTACAATGTCACTTCACATCATTTTGTCAAAGCCCTTCGATGAAAGTTCTTGTACTTCAGTCTCCTCACCTCTTTTCTCAAAACATTGTTGACACTTATTTAATATACACATCTTTAAAAGCTTAGTTGTCTGGTTTCCAGCTCACTGCAGATTGGGGGAGGGGGGTGAGGAAACAGAAACTGGCTGGCAGAGCTGCTGGAGGCCAGCACAGCCACTGCAATGAAAAGTGACAGCTGACAACCTGACATAAAAGCAAGATGCAAAACAACTAAAAGGCTCCAGGAGTACAGGATTATGTGGTCTTTTGTGGCAGATGTTCATAATCATGAACTGGAGTCATCAATATAGGTTAAATTATGTTCCGCCCCGATTGTTTAAGACAGCCAGACTGTGCATAACACAGTTCAGAAAGCATTGCATCAGAGATGGTTAATATTTAAGCTTTAGTGCTTAAAGAGTAAGCTACCATTATCTGGAAAATTCGCTTAGGGAGCACCCCTCCATTTCAGAAGGTACAGCCAGATGAGGACTGCCCTATTTGGAGTCAAAGAACTAAAGACTGAAGGGAAATTTTGGAAGTCAGTTTTCTGGAACAGCAGGGTCGTTGACGTTCTTTGAATATAATTTTCTTTCCTTTTATAATCTATATAAAATACAGTAGCTTAAAAAGCTGTTTGTTAGGAATTGAATTGTGGCCTCCCAAAATATGTATTGAAATCTCACCCCCTCTCCCTCTGGATGGAATCCTGTTTGGAAATAGTTTTCTTTATTGTGTTAATGATACCTTACCAGTGTAGGGTGTGTCCTAAACCTAATCACTTCTGACTCATAAAAAGAGCAGATACAAGCACACTTTAGGGTTTTGGGGAGGGACAGATGCCAGTGAGGATCTCCAAGACACCAAGGAACAACCATGAAGGATATGACATGGCCAAGATACTGGTTTGAACTTTTAACCTCCAGAACTCAGAGAAAATAATTTTCTGTTCCTTAAAGCCACTCACTTGTGGCTATTTGTGTTATAGCACTTCTAGGTAACTAAGACACTATTTTATATTTTTTTAATTTTTGGGAAATTGAGAAATTCCCACCAAAACATTATTTGAAAACCTGATGAAGATCTATGTTTTATTTCCCTGTATATCTGTGATGCCTGCAATATACTTAAAATTTACCTATACCTAAGGAGTCAGTAAAAGGAGCTCTGGTGGCATAGTGCCTAAGGCATTTGACTGTTAAAGAGAAGGTTGGCTGTTCAAACCCACCAGCCACTCCGTGGAAGGATGACTGGGCAATCTAATTCCATAAAGATTTACTGCCTCAGAAACCCAAAGTGGGGTCACTATGAGTTGGAATAGACTCGATGGCAGTGAGTTTCTTTCTTTTTTCTTTTTTTGGAAGGAGTCAGTAAAGGAGCTCTTGTGGTGTAGTAGGTAAGGCATTTGGCTACTAACCAGCAGGCCAGTGGTTCAAACCCACCAGCTGCTCCACAGGAGAAAAATGAGGCAATCTACTTCCATAAAGATTTACAGGTGCTATGAGTCTGAATCAACTCAATGGCAGTGGGTTTGGTTTGGTTTTAAGGAGACAGTACGTTGTGTTAGACAGGTAGATGGATGGATGGATGCATGGATGAATGGATGGAGAGAGAGAGAGGAAGAAAAAATTAGGAAGGTTTGAGAGAAAGAGATATTAGAGATAGAAGGGATCTCAAGAAAACAGAACCCATGTGCCCAGTGTAGTCTCTTTCTCCATATCACAGTGTTTCCTTTTATCACTGAATCTTCTAAGTTACTGACATGCAGAAGAAATAAAGACCAACAAAGGTCCACAACTCAAAACACCAAACTCACTGCCATTGAGTCAATTCTGACTCAGAGTGAACCTCATTGGTTTCCAAGGTTGTAAATCATTACAGAAGCAAACTACCTCATCTTTCCACAAAGCAGCTGATGGGCTTGAACCACTGATCTTCTGGTCAATTGTCAAATGCCTTAACCACTACACCATAAGAGTTCCTTATAAAGGTCCATACATAGCTTAAGTCTCACAAAGAAGTTGTACCCATTTCAGAGCCCTCATTGTGTCATTGTATGGGAAACTATGTTTTCTGAGGCTTCTTATGCACCAATAAGAAAAAATTCTGGGTTTGTTAAGAAGAGACTATGATTCTAATTAGTGCTGAAGGGAAGAAAAATATTGATAGCATCAAAACTGAATGAAGGTATACTAACAAAAATTCCTGTCTGAAGATAGATGTTTAAAGGGGAGGGATATTGCAGGTGGAAAAAGTGACTTCAAAAAAGGCACAGAGAGGAATAAGGAGGTCACATGGAGGAATATTAAAAAAAAATGTGTTCATCTTTAGTGGAAAGGCTATTGTTGGGCAATAGCAAGAAATGAGGCCAGTGAGATGTGGAGAAGCAGGTGGCAGCAGCATCATTTGCAATGTGCTAGTGGAACCTGAAAAGGAGTGGTATCTTACAAAGTGTCATAAGCCCTGGTTGGCCAGCTGTACAAACAAAGAAGTGGAAAATATGAGGACATGGAAAGAGAGCAATCTGGCATCTCAAATCTTAGCATAGTAGAACTGAAAAGGACTTTAAAATTATATTTATTGATGACAAATCTGGGTCCAACCCATATATCTGAAGCCATTTCAAATGGCTTTCACACAGATTATCTCATTTGATGCTCACAAGGACCCTGTGACATAAGCCAGGCAAACTTCATTGTATCTATTTTACAAATGAGCAGTCTGAGACTTAGAGAGGGGAAATGACTTGGTGAGTTAGTTAGTGATACCGTTAGGATTTGGAAGCTAAGTTTTCTGACTTCTAGTCAAGGACTTCTCTATAACACCCTGCTTCTTCTGAACGGAAAAGCTTTGCTTATAATTGACCACACAACTGAATGAAAGTTTCCACATAATTTTTTGTTACACTTGAGGCACTGATGTGCTGCTCCTTTGGACAGACACAAGGAGTCTGCTTATCAGAGACAAACCAGGTGTCCTGAACTCTGAAAATTCTCTTCCAAGTCCTGATGTCCTTTGAGGTGAGTGTGAGGAGTAAATAGCCTAACACATATTAAAATATTCTTGACCTTTGAGTTTTGTAGTGTTTCCAGTTGGCTGCAAAGAACCTTCCTGATCATCCTCTGATCTCATTCTTACCTGCATGGAGATCTGGCATTGCATGGCAGGCTTTCTGCACCTTTCTTATTCCAACTTGGACTTCTCAAATCTTCAATGACCTTCAATCCCCATCCCCAAACACACATGACTCACTTTAGAAGGCAGATTGAAATTTTGACACTAAATTTGTTATTCCTAGCAGAAAGCCCAAACATTTATTTTTAGAATCCGTTAAAGTGAACCATTGTCATTATAGGAAATGCTGGCTATCATAGCAAGATCAGTTCAGTGGGAAAGACCAAGTTTGGTATCATTACTCAAAGGGGATATAAAAGAGGAAAAAGATTGGGTTTGCATCCCATCTCACTAATGGGCTGTATGACCTAGGATAAATCATATAACCTGTAACAGCTTTTATTTTTTATCAGAATGATATTCTGAATAATATGAATAAAAATATGAATAATTCCAGATTGAAGAGTTGTTATAAGAATCAAGTGATAAAATGAAAGCAAGAAACCCAATGAAAATATTAGATGTTATTTCCATCATTCTGATTATTTGTGTATTGCCCTGTATCTGGGTGTCTGCATACCTAATGATGACTCCAAAACTATCTTTCAACCAAATTTCTAGAAGTATGTATACATAGCCATAATTGAGGCAAATGTATTTCATATAGCAGGAACCCAAAATGATCACAATATTACATGGAGTGTAGATTAGAAAATGAACCTGAAATTTTAACATAAAAGTAGTTAAATATGACCTATAATTAGATTCACTGAAATATAATTGATAAGTCAAAATGAAACAATGTACTTAATTCAAATGAAAGATCAGAGAGGCAGGAGACTAGCATTCTCTAATGAGAAGACTTAAATGTATTTGGAAGTTTTTAGAGCTGATACCACTACTCTTCTGTCAGTTTGTCATCCTGTGGTGGCTTGCATGTTGCTGTGATGTTGGAAGCTAACTTACCAGTATTTCAATTATCAGCCAGGGTGATCCTTGGCAGACAGGTTCTAAACCAAGACAGACCAGGAAGAAAGTAGGTGAGCTACTTCCAAAATTTAGCCCATGCAGATGTTATGAATCACAACAGAACATTGTCCAACTCACTTGCTTTGGACACCTCAACAAGAGGGATCAATTTCTGGAGGAGGACATCATATTTGGTGAAATAAAGGGTCAATGAGGGTGAGGGAGGCCCTCAGTGACATGGATTGGCACAATTAACCTCAACGTTGGACTCTAACACGATTGTGAGGACGATGCCAGACCAGACAATGTTTCATTATGTTGTTCATAAGGTTGCCATGAGTCAGAGTGGACTCAATAGATGCTAACTATCTATCTATCTAGACCCAGTATTGAATGTGTATAACAGTATTTCCGTTAGGATGAGAGAGAAACAGAATGTGAGATCTGCTTCAGGCCTCCCATAGGACAGACTGCTGGTGATGCATTCATAATGGAGATTACTGAGCAGGCCCAGATTGAAGTTGTCAACTCTGGGGACATCTGTTAGTTGTCTCACTCAACCAAAGCAGAGCTGTATTCCATTCTTGGGTTCTCAAGTTAATTTACTCTCACAGGAGGTGGAAGAAGCAATGAAAGGGAACAGTTATTTACTCAGGACCTAATTGCAACTGAAAGTCACTGGTGGGTGAAATAGAAGTGATAAATCCATTCAATAAATACTTATTGAATGTTAGTGCTTGCTATACTCTTGTCAGGACAGTCATAATACAGAATGTCACACACAGTCCGTACGTATCTCCACCCTCATAAAGTTTTCAGTTTAACAAGAAGAGAGATAAAACTATTGATTATGGGAACTTAGAAGAATAATGAATACTTTCTTAATCAGGACTTTGATGATGAGTAACATGAAATGAAGGAGCTCTGGTGACACAGTAGTTAAGTATTTGGCCACTAACCAACAGGTCGGTGGTGCCAACCCTCCAGTAGCTCTGTGGGAGAAAGATGTGGCAGTTTGCTTTTGTAAATATCACAGCCTTGGAAACCCTATGGGCAGTCCTGTTCTGTCCTATAGGGTTGCTATGACTCAGAACTGACCCAACAGCAACAAGTTTGGTGTTTGGTTTTAACATAAAACCAGTCAAGCTTTTGCTTAAGCAAAAGCTAGGCCTCATTAAGAAACTGGAACTGAGAACTGCAGACCCATCAGAAACCAAAGTAGCTTCTTCCTTGTCATCTCTGGTTCTCTTTCTGTTTACATGTTCTCTTTTTGCTGCTCTTAGCATAGCCACTTAATTTTTCTCTCCTTTTAACATTTTTCTCTCTGCTTCTCTAAGGACATGCTAAAGGACAAGCCAGAAACAGCCCTAGGTCTCTCCTTGGTTTAGGTATCTAACTCAGAAAGCTTTAGGGTCCCCATATCAAGGGAAGAAAAAAATGAATGATACACCTTGAACAAGGCATCCACCTTTGTTCCAAGGGCATCGGTTACTTACCAGGCCCTTTGGGATCTGAATTCTTGAGAAGGAACCCTGTGCAAACTCTCTAAGAGATTCAGTATGGAGTGAAACAATGGTTATTCCTATTCCACACCAAGTCATCTGAGATGACTAATGAAGGCCTTGGTAGCCATCACCAACCACATAACCTGGACTTAAGAGAGTAGATTTCAGAAAGTTTGGATATTCATGGACAGGTAACATAAAGGGAGAGAAGGCTGGATGTTGGACAATAAACTAGAATCCATAGAAGTCTATTGATTAAAATCAATAAAATAAAATTTTAAAGAAATTGATGTCATCTGCAGCACCTATATTACCTTTAAAAAAGAAAATCAATTTTACAGGTACAAGATGAGATGAAACTGGTATAATGAGAGTTTGTTTTGTTTATAAAAAAGCAGCTGGAGGTTTTGGTTTACAAGAAGCTCAATATCAACCTTTATTGCCATGGAGTTACGAAAACAACTAGTGCAATATCTTCAGTAAAAGGCAAGAGAATCAGTGCCACCCTTTGCTGCACCAATCAGATTATGAATCTAGAAGACATTGGGTCCATTCTGAGCACCATAGTTTAAGATAAAAATTGACAAATTTGAGATATTGGACAGGTAGTGTCTGGAATGTTGAAGGGAATGAATGAAAACCATGTCATAAGGAAGATGGAGCAATCTACTTCCATAGTGATACTGCCTCGGAAACCCAAAGAGGGGTTGCTGTGAGTTGGGTCCAACTCAGTGGCACATAACAACAACAACAACATGAGAAACAAAGTTCTTAAACTTGGTAAAGGAAAGATAAGAGAAAATCTGATGTCACTTTTCAAATATTCAAAGTATCATTTATAATATTTGAAAGCATCCTTGCACCATGAGGTAAAATTATAGGTAGGCATAATTTGGCTCATTTATTTTAAATCTTACCAAAAAGCAAGTGTAAAAAATCAGTTTCAGTTGCATCTATCTAAAAATGGAATGGGCTGCTCTAAGAGGATGTCTGTTCCTTAAGGAGAGGAACCTACTGACATGTTATTCTGGCATCAGGTGGACTCTGGTTTAGAATTATTCTTTTTTAAAAAAATTATGGTAAATATATATGTAACAAACCATTTGCCTTTTCAACATTCTGCTCATGTATGATTTTAGTAAAATTTGTTATGTTTATCATGTTGTTCAGCCCATTAATATTATCTGCTTCCAAAATTTTTTTTATCACCCTTAACAGGAGCTCAGTGTCCCCAACCCTAAACTCACCACATTCATTGCCATCAAGTCGATTCTGACTCCTAGTGACCCCCATTGGGTTTCCAAGGCAGTAAATCTTTATGAAAGTAGATTGCCCCATCTTCCTTCTGCAGAGCACCTGGTGGGTTTGAACCACCAACGTCCTTGTTAGCAGTCAAAAGCCTTAGGCACTGCGCCACCAGAGCTCCATCCCCAACCCTAGTAACTACTAATCAACTTTGGTCTCTGTACACTCACCTAACCTAGATATTTCATGTAAATGGAATTATACAATATTTGTTCCTTTATAACTGACTTACAGCATAATTTCAAGTTTGTCCATGTTATAGCATGTATCAGGACTTCATTTCGCTTTATGGCTGAGTAATATTCCATTGTATGTATATACCATATTTTATTTGGAATTACTACATACAATTATCAAATTGATTCCAACTCATAGCAACCCCCCATCAGGTTTCTAAGGCTATAAATCTTTATAGTAGACTATCCCATCTTTCTTCCGTGGAGCAGCCAGTGGGTTCGAACCACCAACCTTTTGGTTGGCAACCAAATGCCTTAACCATTCCACCACTTATTCTTTATTCTGTTTAGGAAAGCCTTTCTTAATTGGTCTTGGAATTAGGTACAGTATAAATAATTTATTCATAAACAGAAATATGTAAAAAATGGCATAAAGTAAGTATATTTTGTAGGCTTTTTCTCCCTAAAGATTACCCTCTGGATGTTGTTGTTGCTGTTGTTATGTGCCATCGAGTGGCCCCGAGTCAGCCCCGACACATAGCGACCCCTCCTTGGGTTTCCAAGGCAGTATCACTACAGAAGTAGATTGCCCCATTTTCCTTCCGACCCTCTGGATAGGGAGTGGGATAAAGATCTCAGATCTGTGCTTTTGTCAACCTTATCTTGAGCTGTACTCCTTGATAAGTCATAAGGAGTAACTAGTGGCCACCAACCATTCTTTTGAAGAATTATCTTTGTCTATACTCAAGCTGGTAGACAAGCAGATAGTTGTGTAGTATTAGATAACACCCTATACCAAACACCTCATCACCTACCAGCCCTACTACCACCTACCAGATGAATGGTGACATTTTATTGTTAGCAGTTTCTTTCCATTGGATGCTGTTTCTTGAAGTCCTCTCTTAAAATTAATGTTACATTGGAGAGATTATACATTAACCTTCATGCCCTTTCTTACCAACTACTGAATCAGCCATTCAAGAAATAGGAAGTCAGCTCCAAAGACTAAGTGCTGTGCTGGATATAGAAGATACAAACATCTGTGTGGGTCAGACCCTGAGAAGGCTGAGCAGGGACAGGAAGGGCTGTTGGGAAACCTCCAAGCATGAAACATTAGCTAAGAAGTAAAGACCAAGAAACAGCAGAGCAGTGAGCACACTAAGCAAAGCCATAGGTGAGGAACAACATTTGAAAGGCGTTCTCAGGCTGGAGCCAGCTGCATCCCTCAGTGTGGTAATTTTGTTTGAACAAGATTGTATTCATTAAAATGAGATTTTGCTTCGCTTTTATTTTTCAGGGACCTGAAGCTAGATAATATCCTGTTAGACAAGGATGGTCACATCAAAATAGCAGACTTTGGAATGTGCAAGGAGAACATGTTAGGGGACGCAAGGACAAATACTTTCTGCGGAACTCCTGACTACATTGCGCCAGAGGTAGGGACGTGCTGCCGAAAAGGCCTACGACTGGCCCCTTCCCCAACCCAACAGAACCCTGGGCCAAGCCCTACTGTTTCTTCCTCCTTTTAAAGCTGGAAGATTTTAGGTATTTTGGCTCAGAAGTGATCATTGTTTTTCTGACTATTTCATAAATCCAGTCCCACGTGTATTGCCATTATTATATTACGGAGGTCAGTGCTGATATGAATTACATCTCTCCAAGGCTTGAGTAGCTCAGCTTTTCCTTTCAGTCATGACTCCTTTCAACCCCTGCCTGAAATTCAACCAGAAGGAAACACTCGTGGAGAACCAGGTGGAAACTGGATACTCTCACGTGTTCGCACCTGAGTAAGTCAAGTGGCTTGATTTTAGTATCAGAAAACCTGAACTGAAGATTCCAAACTGGCCTTGCATAAACATAGATAGATGACCAAAGTCTCACTCAGCCTCACTTTTCTCTTCTGTAAAATGGGGACGATACTCATCTCACAAAGTACTGCAAGCATTCAGTGAGATAACATATGAGATCTAAACATCATCCCCACCCCCCACCAAACAAATAAAGCATCACCTTCTTCATTCTGAGCTGCATTTGTTCAGAAGGCATTCATCAATCCGACTACACCACATACTCATTCCCTTTTTTATGGAATACTCCCCCAGTTGCCCACCCCAGGGAGATTAGACACTCCTCTACCACTTAATCCTTCTCATACCATAACAATTATCTTAACTGCTTCTTTATCCTTGAATATCCCTATACTTCTTGATAAAGAGTCCCTGAGTGTCACAATTAAGCACTGGATGACTAGCTGAGAGGATGGCAGTTCAAATCTACCCAAAGGCACCTCAGAAGACAGTCCTGGTGATCTGTTTCTGAAAGATTCCAGCCTTGAAAGCCCTAGAAAGCAGTTCTAACTGTACATCTAGGGAGCTCTGGTGGTACGGTGCCTCAGGCATTTGACACCTGTTGTTGTTGTTATGTGCCATCAAGTCAGCCCCAACTCATAGTGACCCCTCCTTGGGATTCCGAGG